ACCAAGGGAGCAGATGCTGGTTCCCCCGTGGGCACTGGCTGACCACACACCCGTCTGCCCACAGCACCCTACACCATCATCACCTTCCCCTTCCTCTTCGCGGTAATGTTTGGCGACGTGGGCCACGGGCTGCTCATGTTCCTCTTTGCCCTGGCCATGGTGCTTGCTGAGAACCAGCCGGCCATGAAGGCCATGCAGAATGAGGTGCGGCTGCCCAGCGCCTGGTGGGGTTGGGGCGGCAGGGCTGGGCAGCCCCTCACCGTGCCACGCCCTCCAGATCTGGCAGACCTTCTTCGGGGGCCGCTATCTGCTCCTGCTCATGGGCCTGTTCTCCGTGTACACCGGCTTCATTTACAACGAGTGCTTCAGCCGCGCCACCACCATCTTCCCCTCCGGGTGGAGCGTGGCTGCCATGGCCAACCAGTCGGGCTGGAGGTGTGACTCCCAGGCCCTGGTCCCCAGCCCACCCTGCCACCCCGGGCCTGTGCTTCCTGACTGCCACCCTCTCTTGTCACAGTGATGCATACCTGGCCCAGCACCCCGTGCTTGACCTGGACCCCAATGTCTCTGGAGTCTTCCTGGGACCCTACCCCTTCGGCATTGATCCGGTGAGTGCTGCCGCCTCAGTGCTCACGGGGTGTAGGCAGGTGGGAGGGCCTGGGTGGGGACTCCTGTACCCCATCTGCTCGTGCATCCCTGGTGGTCTATTGCTTAGGATTTGGCGCTGTCTCCCATCTGCTTATCCCTCTTTCAGCAGCCATCTCCAGCACCTACTGCATTATGCACAGGACACAGCCCATCCTGCTGGGCCTGTCCCTGTCACCTGAGAGGGCAGAAAGGCCTGCACTTGTAGCAGTTCAGCCTGTGCTGGGACCTCTGTGTGCAGTGGTTTTATATTTGGTTCACATAATGACTCTGGGCACCCACTGTCCAGATGGGAAAACCGAGGCCAAAACCACATAGGAAGTTCACCTAGCTGGGAAGATCTGGGGCTTGAGCCCAGGTTGCTTGACTGCCCTGACCTCTCTGCCATTCGCTCGCTCCCTTCCATTGCCCTCGGCAGTGGGGACAGGCTGCTGTGGGTGATGAGGGACTTGGGCTGCAAGGCTTCCCCTCAACACCCTGAACATGGCACCCTCTCCTATCACCCCAGGTCTGGAGCCTGGCCACCAACCACCTCAGATTCCTCAATTCCTTCAAGATGAAGATGTCTGTCATCCTAGGCGTCGTCCACATGGCCTTCGGGGTGGTCCTGGGTGTCTTCAATCACATGTGAGGACAGAGCTGTGTCGGGGGGCTATAGCCTAGCAGGGCCTGGGTAGCACTGCAACCCACTTGTTCCCCCAGGCACTTTGGCCAGAGCCACCGGCTGCTGCTGGAGACGTTGCCCGAGCTCGTCTTCCTGCTGGGCCTTTTCGGCTACCTCGTCTTCCTGGTCGTCTACAAGTGGCTGTGCTTCACGGCTGTCGACTCAGCCACGGCCCCCAGCATCCTCATCCACTTCATCAACATGTTCCTGTTCTCCCGAAGCCCCACCAACCGGCCACTCTACTCTGGGCAGGTGTGCTGGCCAGGAGCGGGTGCACACCACCTTGAGGGGACCCCGTGTCACTGGGCTGCTCTGAGCTGCAGGATCCTCATGTGGGCCTGAGACCCTGCAGATGGGGTTAGAGGCAAGGGCACAAACCTGCGTGGGGGTGGTGCACAGTGGTTACTGGTGGCCCGAGGCCTCTCTTGGGAGTCCTGTGGAGCGACAGCCCTTAGTGATAGGCACCCAGGGGAGAGGCCCACAGCTCTTTGGCCCTGCGGCTGACAACTGAGCTCCTGAGCCCCCGTGTGCTCACGGTGGCCTGACTCGCCCTCTCGCCTGCAGGAAGTGGTGCAGTACGTGCTGGTGGTCCTGGCCTTGGCCACAGTGCCTGTCCTGCTGCTCGGCACACCTTTGTACTTGCTGCGCCAGCAGCGCCGCCGCCAGAGAAGGCCTGCAGGGGGACAGGTAGAGCCTGAGGAGGGAGGACTGTGTGGGAGGCAGGCCACCGTCCCTGTCCCTGTGCCCCACTTCCTGCGGGCTCAGGCGGCTGTGAGTGGATGGCGGGGACTACTCACGCTGTGCACTGCTATCCCCCGTCCCAGAATGAGGACAAAGCCAAACTTATAGACTCCCCTGATGCCTCTGAGAGTGACTGGGGTCCTGATGAGGAGAAGGCAGGGTGCTCTGAGGATGACAAGGATGCTGAGGTGGGTGTGACACCTTCTTGAGGGGGCGGTGGTGGCCACCAGCCTAGCTGGCCCCTCCATGCTCCTCACTGCCACTTGCCTGCCCACCTGGCAGCTCGTCCCCTCTGAGATCTTCATGCACCAGGCCATCCACACTATCGAGTTCTGCCTTGGCTGCATCTCTAACACAGCCTCCTACCTGCGCCTCTGGGCCCTGAGCCTGGCCCACGCCCGTGAGTGCCCCGCAGAGTCGCATGGGCAGTGGGGTGGCCTGGGTTCTGTTCCAGTGCACTTAACACAGTGGCCAGCTGGGGACCTGAATCCCCCCCTGTGAAATCAGGCCTTGCTGGCCCCACAGCCAGGGAGACATCAGTCCTGCGGTGGGGGACCTGCAAGCACCTCCTCATCCACAGCCCCTTGGCCCTTCTTCCCACAGAGCTGTCGGAGGTCCTGTGGGCCATGGTGATGCGTGTGGCCCTGAATTCAGACCTCGCTGTGGGCGTGCAGGCCGTGCTGCTGGTCCCCATCTTTGCTGCCTTCGCCGTGATGACTGTTGCCATCCTGCTGGTGATGGAAGGGCTCTCCGCCTTCCTGCATGCGCTGCGGCTGCACTGGTGAGCGCCCCCTGCCGGCCTGGGATGAAGGGCTGGGATGAAGGCACCCCTCACCAGCCTCCCCTTCTCGCCCCCAGGGTGGAGTTCCAGAACAAGTTCTACTCTGGCAATGGTTACAAGCTGAGCCCCTTCACCTTCGCTGTGGAGGATGAATAGCACCCCAACGTGTTCTTAACCTAAGACAGGGAAGCAATAAAGAGCAGGCAGGCCTGCAGCAGCATTCTGGTCCTTTCTGAGGCGCCAGGGGTTGGGTGAAGCCCCAGGGGCCAGGCCCTAAGTCCTGGGCTCCTTTGGGCCCTACCTTGACCCTGCTTTCTAGCTGAAGTGGGATGGGGATGAGGAGCACTAGTCTAGGGTCTGGGCCCCAAGAAGTCAGGGTGCAGACTCACAAGCACACCTGCAGTGCCCCAGACCCTTACTGTGAAAGGGGCACGCAACACTAGGGCCGAACAATGGTGTTTCTTACATGTTCTAGCTCATGCCTTCCAGCCACGTTGGGGAGTGAGCTTTCCACCTCTGGAGGTATGCAAACTGGCTAGGAGGACTCATAGCCTCCTGTGGCCAGCCCCAAAGAAAGCAGTGAGGCACCCCAACCTGTTCTAGTTCTGCAAGGGGTCAGGAACCCACCAGAGCAGCCCAAGACTTGTCAGAGCCCTGGAGGTCACAGCAGAGGCTGCAGTGACTCCAGGCTCTTGCCCTCTCACAGAGGCCACTGCCTCTTCCTCTAGGTGGTGTCTTGCCCTGAGGCCATCTCTTCCCTCTGGCCCTAGTCCTGCCATAGGCTAGGAAGAGGAGTCAGTGCTTCTCAACAGGTCTTGATTTTTCCAGCCAAGAATCTACAGAGTGGTTCTTCCACTTGAGAGGCCCCAGGCACAAAGGCTACTTTGGGGCCAGAACTGCCCTGGGCATAGCAAGCCAAGGTGGCCTGGCCCCTGGCTGTGGCTCTGGTCAGCTGCTGGGAGAGACTTGTCCCTTGGGTCTGAGACTGCCCTGATGAGGACCCCTAGAAGCCAGGTGTGGGGGGATATGAGATGCTCCGAGCAGTTTCCACCTGGTAGTCTCAGGCCTCAGAAGCTGTGGATGGCCCCAGACTGACCTCGGGGAGACAGACATGCTCAGAGCCCGGTGTGGGTGATCCGTGGATATCAGTCAGTCTTGCGCTGACTTTGAAAACCTAGGCAGCTGGGCTGCCAAGAATCTAGTTGCCATGGAAATAACACAAGCAGCCACGGGCCAGTGCCGTTGGGGGATCGTCTGCAATGAGGACCGTGGGGGCTGGATGCAATCCCTGCTCATCCAGCAAACAACTGAGCAAGCCAATCAGAATTCTAGAGAAGCCAAGTGCCTGAGGGACACGCAAGTGGTGGGCCAGGGTGGTATGGGTCACCAGGGAGGTCAAAGAGGTGGCACCATCTTAACTCGAAGGGCTCAGAAATGTATGCAGTGACTTCTCCATGCTTTTTTTTTCCTTGCTACGCTAAGCACTGAACCCAAAGCCTTCCGCAGTCCTTTTTAACACAAAATCTGGCTTAGTCACCAAGTTCCCCAGGTTGGGCTCAAACTTGTGATCCTCTCGATTCTGGCTCCTTAGGGTGCTGGGATTACAGGTTTTCTGCCACCATGCTTAGGTATGGGGAAACTTCTGAGCTGACAAGGACAAATGAAATGTCCCACCATCTGGAAAAGCATCTGTCAAGAAACATGTAAAGCGGGGAGGTGGCAGCAGACAGGGTAGGCAGGACATCTCCCATCTCCTGGACGTGAACCTAGACTGCACAAGGGCAGTGGTGTCATTTATTGTCCTGTGTAAAAATTCAAGTGTCTCCAACAGGTAAACACTAGTGTCTCCCTCCTGCCCCAGCCCCCATTCAGTTCCCCACCTGGACAGCCAGCTCGGTTCCTGGTGTCCTCTGTCTCCCTCTGGGGAAGCAGCAGCACAGTCAGGTGGCCGGTGTATAGAGCACCCCAGGATGAGTGCGCTGGGCAAGATCTCCAGGGAGGCCAGAGGGAAACCAGTGTGTGGTGGTCTGATGAGTAAAGTGTCAGGAGGACGATGAGGGCCAGATGCTGAGCAGCCCACATACACCTGGGCACAGGCTTCCCAGGCACACAGCAGGTGACAGGAGCCTGCCCTGAGGGTATGGATGCATTCAGGGTGACTGCTTGAGGTTGGGTTTTAATTTTTTTATTTGTATAGTACAGTCTCTGTAGTAGCAGAAATATATACACGCACACACACAAAATCCTCAAAAAGGAGTTAAAAAAAAAAAAGAGGCTAAGAACGTATCCCATTGGACATTTACTACATACAGATTTCACAGCTACAGTCTGCCGGAGCCCCACACTCCAAAGAGGGGCTGCTGACTCCCCTAGAATGACGGCAACACGGAGAAGGGAGCAAGGCGATGGTGGGGATGCCGGCCCCCAGCAAAGCCACGGCCAGGGCAGGAGGCAGCTTAAGCCCAGGATCCTACGCTCCGGGCTGCATGGAGGAAGTCAGAAAGGCTGTGGGAGCTGCCCATCGGCCCCTCCACATGGAGGGGAGGAGCCAGGGAGGCCCGCACTGTGCAAAGCTGGAGTCGTGAAACACACAGGCATTTCGGTGCAGTCTGTCTGTACCAGCACGTGTATGATGGGTACAGGGCACGCACATCTGTCCATCTGCCCATCCTCCACGGACAGAGTTCCTGACAGCACGTGTCTAGCCCTGCAGCTCCGGAAGGCCTGCGCTGGGTGCCGCTGCAGGATACATGGCTGGAACTCAGCTGGGAGGGCCACTTCACAGTGCGTCTTGTAGTGCCTGGGAGCAAGGAGTGCCTACGACACGTCAGCGCCCACAGGGAGCCTGGTCACAAGGTCAACTGGCATGTAAATGAGAGGATTTTTAAAAACCAGCATTAACCGAAGTACCCGCAGTAACACTGGTCACTCCTGCTGCTGACCATGTCTGAATGAAAGTCTTACGCCCCAAAGAGAAACCACCTCCTCTAGATTAAAAAAGTTCTGAGATATTGCACTATTGTACTATATTTCTGCCTCCCAATCTCATTTCAGAGTCCTAGTGAGATTGTAAACAAGATAGGGAAGAAATGTTACTGCACTTTAATACAGTCCTCAGTATCATATCATACACATCGGTGCGGTGCAGATGCCGAGGCCTCCGCACGCAAAGGGAGAGGCTGCAGAGGCCCCTAGGCCGCTTCCCGGCAGTGCCGCGGTGCAAGGGGCGGGGTGCTCCCAGTCACACCTCAAGCTTCCTCTTCTGCTCGAAGTACGCATCAAACCTGGCTTGGGCATATTCCTGGGAGACAGTCAATAAAGAGAAGGCTTTACCAAGGGCTCCTGTGGCCCCCACCTTGCCCATACACCCAGCCCAGCACTTTGGAAACAGCAAGGACTCCCTGAACCCAGGCAGGATGGTGCGAGACATTATCTGCCTAGCTTCTGGCAGTGTCCCTTGCAGCTGTATTTTAAAGCTACCAGCCAAGCAGCCAACTCAGGTAGAATTTCTGTCTCTGTATCTGGTGCCCTGACTGTTCCTGGGCTTGCTCACCAGACCACCACCCACACCCCCCCCCACACACACACACAATCACCAGTTACCCTTTGAAAGCCAAAGATCCGTGATGAGAGCAGATACAGAGCAAAGGTGAGCCACAGCACTTCTCCGGGATCATTGGCAGCCCCACCACGACAGAGGACGTGGGGAAGACAGACTGCCCTGTATGCTCCCTCCCTGCCCCACCAGCGCAGGCATCAGTAAGAACCTGCTCCAAATATGCCTTAGGAGTCTGTACTCTAAATTCCAGAAGATTACCCTGTCAGTTTTTGAGAAATTAACTTGGAGGCCTAATTTCTATCCCACAAACACAACCCATTTTAAAGGTACACTGTGAAGTTTCCACAGATGCACCTGCTATGGTAAGGGAAGTCCCCAAGCCCCTGGCCCTGGGAAATCACCCTCCACCCCACAGCAGGCTGCTGACCTGGGTCACTAGACGGCCTTCTCTAACGCACCTCACACCTGGGCACACAGTGCGCACCTGTCCACGCAGCACGCTTCTCAGAGGCAGCTGTGCTGCATGTGGCACTGGTGGCCAGCTGCCTCCCACTGCTGAGTAGTTTCCTGTGACGCGGCTCTAACATCCTATTTATGTAAGAGCACACCCTCTGGCTGGCTCCATCTTGGGAGCATGCAAAAAAAAAAAAAAAAAAAAGCTACTATACGCATCTAAAGAGGAGCCTTGGTGTAGAAATGTGTGCTCAGCTCCATGGGATTCTGATCAAGGAGAGGGACAGTGGGGACTGTGTCTGCAGATTTTGTGCCCATGGACTAAAAACATTTAGGGAAAAAGTTGTCTGCATACTGAACATGTAGGTGGTTTTGTCATATCCTAAACTGGATATAGTAACTGTTTGCATAGCGTTACACCGGAGTGGCAAGGTATGACGGGCAGCCTGCAGATGACTTGATGCAGGGTTATTTTAATTTGTATTTCATTAACGGCCAGATATACTGAACATTTTTCCACATGTTGCTGGCACAACTGACTTTCGTTTTTGGCCCTGATATCCTGCGAATAGCTCATTAAACTGGCTAGTTCTGTTGAACTCTAGTTTTAAATGTACTCCATGTACATTTAAATGTACATGACACAGGTGAGGATGTGCACCATCCATAGAGTAAAGGCAGTGCCCTCCTCCTTCCCAGCATGCCTGCTCAGGAGGAGCTCCAATGCGCTGAGAGGCAGGGAGGGCAGGAGCACCTAGCCCTGCGGTGCGTGGGGCGGGGAGGGGCATGCAGTTCTTCACCAACAATTGTGTCAGCGGAGAGCTCCTCGCATGCACCCTCTATCTGGTTAAGCGTCCCTCCATTGCTAGTCTGCTGAGATGTTTTATCATGACTGAGTATTGAGCTTTGTCAGTTCCTGAATTCACTGAGACAATCATGTGATTCTTCATCTTGACTCTGTTAATATGAAGAATCACATTCGATTTTTAGCTGACCATGCCTTCCAGGAATAAATGCCACTAAGTCATGATGTAGTCTCCTTTTGTATAAGATAGTGTTTTAATTTGGGCTCATGTTTATATACATATATTTTTATGCAATGTTCATGAAAGACACCGACCTAATTTTTTTTTCCTTTTTCTCCATGAAATAAAATGAATTTGATCTAATTTCCTTGACATGGCCTTGTCTACATTTGGTATCAAGATAATGCTGGTCTCACCAAATGATGGGCAACATACCATAGTTTGTGCAGGATTAGTGTTTCCTCCTTAAATGTTTTGATGACACTCACCAAGGAAACCATCTGAGCCTGATTTTATTCCATAGAAAGAACCCATTATGAATTTAGTTTATTTAACTAATACATGCTATTTCTGTCAGTTTTGGTCATCTCTACCCCTAGCCACGTACACTCAGCTGTGTGTTGCCGAATGTATAAAGCTGTCCCTAAATGGCTACTGTTCCACGTCCACAGGACCTACAGGAGGTCTTCTCTTTGACTCGCAGTACTGTTTATGTGTGTCTTCCTTTCCATTTGTTCCTTTTAATTGTATAGCTAGAAGTTTATAAATTTTTACTGGTATTTTCAAAGGACCAACTTTGTTTTCACCAATTTTCTCTAGATTTTGGTCTATTACTCTTGTTTTGATCATATTATTTACCTTTAGCTTAATTTGGGTTTTCTTTGGATACTTAAGGTAGAAACTTAAGTCATGTGAAGTCTGAGAACTTCACTCTTTTGTGGTGTCTATCTAAGTAAACATTCATTTTATAAAGCTGTAAGTTTCTAAACATCGCTTTAGCTAAACCCCAACAATTCTGATACATTATGTATGCAGTTGTTGGGAATTTGATAAATGTCAAGTCAGTTGAGTAAGTGTTATTCCCGTTGTCTGTCACTGTCACTGCTTGGTGACACTGTGCATTTGCCCATGTCTTCCTTCAGTCTCACTGGGTTTTGTTCCATGCCCTTAGCAGCAAGACAGCTACACATACATGTAGGATTTTATGCTTTTTTGATGACTTGATACCTTTATCAGAAAACATGCTTATCTCTGGTAATATTCCTTATCTTGAAGTCTGCTTTGTCTTACAATATTATTTGACCATGACTTCAAATCTGCTTTAAAAATTTAACTTTTCAAGCTGGGCATGGTAATTGCAGCACTCTAGGAGGCAAAGGTTGAGAAAAATCTCAAGTTTAAGCAGAATCTGGGCAACTTAATAATTTGGCAAAACTCTTTTTCAAAATATGGACAGATAGACAGGGCTGGAGATATACCTAAGTACAAAGGCCCTGGCTCCAATCCCCAGCACTGCAAACAGAAAAAAACTTTTAAACTGTAAATTTCCTCATTTCTTTGCCTAATGGTGTGTCTGCATTATAAACCTGCCTAGAACTAGAATTCCTAGGACTGAGACGGACAAAATGAACTGGTAATTTCTCACTATGTGTTTTAAAGAAAGGGAACTCACTAGATGCCAGACCTTCATGTTATGCCCCATCTTTACCCAAACCCTCACGCCCCTGATATGACAGTTTATCTACAGGTTAAAAATGGGTCTATGTCAAGGACAGTTCTTTTTTTTTCAAGGACAGTTCTTAACACAGAATACAATGACAGCCTAGTTTGGTTACAAATGTGCTTGTGTCAACAGTGGTAAAGTGCCCTTTGCACTGCCTACAAAATCATTTAATGTCCCCTCTGTCAGAAAGGGCTCACTTCAAGGACTGCACTTTCCAGACCCAATCCCACCATGCCTCACTCAGACTGCAGGCCTATCTAGCATTTCTCTGAGAGGCTGAAAAAGAGGTGACTTCCACAGGCAACCACAGGGTCAGTGAGAAGGGCTCAAAGAGCTATGGTGTCCCGGTGCAGGCAGGTTATCACATTTGATCAGTTGCCACCAAGAACTGACGCATATTGTAGTATTCTATTCCTGAAAGTAGAAGAGAACTGTCCCTCAAACATACCATGTACCCAAATTCAATGGATGAAATCTTGGCCTGTACAATGGACCAAAGTCCCCAGAAGAAATGGGAAGCAAGGGCGAACCTGTAATTACAAAATGAGAAACACACATGAGTGTCAGCCACAGATGTGCAGTGATTTCATGCAGGCCAGGCCCCTGTGACTCAGAAGTCAGCTCTGGGGCACCCTCTGCCTTACCAACTGCATGGGACTATGTGGGGACTGAGACCAGGGGAGACCACTCCTGGCCTCTTCCCACCTCTGGCCTGGAGCTAGTGGGCTTGCGGTGTGAGCACAATGACAAGTCACAGAGTGACACTCTCAGGACATGGCAGGGTTGCGGTGGCCTTGTTGAGAGAATCCATCTTTGCTGCAAGTGCACAGCCTCAGCAACCAAGTGGCAGCTCTGAAAACCCACGACCTTTTGCAGGAGACCAGAGGGAGGCCGCTCCTGAGTAGAGGCTTCTCAAATCCATCCTCGCCTCACACAAGGAGAAGCATGTGAGACTCGTCACCACACCCTGTCCCCCGCTCCATCCCATCACTGGGAGCCCCAGTTCCTCTTCAAACAGTCCTCTGGGGTAAAGCTCTGCCCTAGCACCCTTGCCAGCCTTCCTCCAGCTCCTGGTGGTCCCTGGGTGCTGCCCTTCACGTAGGGTTCTCTACCAGTGCGTTTTTCTGTTTCCACCCATTCAAGAAAGAGGACAGCAGACTCTGTGTGCCACTGGAACCTAGGGGCAGGATGGGAGCAGCAGGCTCAGTGAGAGGGGTGAACAGGCTGAGGACCCCGAAGAGACAACTTGTGATGGGAAAGCAGAAAAGGTGGCCCAAAGGTGTTCAAACTGTCACAACCACTGCAACAATGGGAACAACCCACTAAAAAGAAGCATAAATAAACTATGACCTAGAACTTTGCAAAATCTGATGTTTTAGGTCCCTGCTTTGAGAGCTATTGAGAAAAAGCTCAAAATAGTTCATAAAGGCCAGGGATTTAGCTCAGTGGCACAGCGCCTGCCTGGTAAGCATGAGGCTCTGAGTTCGATTCCGAGTATCCGGAATAGTTCACAACGCAGTATGGTGCTACCTTTAGAAATTAAAAAAGGGAAAAAGTTACCTATTGACTTCAAGCAACATTTCTTCTTCTATAGTGAATTTTTCTTCACTACTGAGGTTTTCAAAGTCGTTTTGGAATGTAGCCAAGTAACTGGAAATAAAATGGAGCTTAAAAAAGAAGCAACTGTGTTAGGTTCTATGTTGGTTTAAAGCACACACTATCAACAGCTGCCACAAAGCAGACACACACACACACACACACACACACACACCCTGTGACTGACCAGACTCCGCCATCACAGGGAGGTCTGTGGTGAGTCTGGCTGTTATGTGCCAGAGCTGAACCAGGGCTGCGCCCTGCAGTAAGCACCTACAGGTCCCTGCTAGCTTGGTGCACAGAAGTCCTTGGTGTGACATGCTTGCTACCACCAGCACTTCTGGAGAATGTGACTTGGCTAAGACCATTTTTTTCCTAATCAAATCCACATGTTTTTCACTGTCTGATCTCAAAGCAGGGCAGGCTGACATTGAACTTTTTGCCATACTGGCCACTATGCCACATAGGGTTGCCACAAACATGCAGTCATGGGACTCCAGAGTGGCCTGGTATTCACTGCAGGCGTTTCCTTAGTGGACACTGGACTACACAAGGCAAAGTACCTTCCTACCCTGAGATGTCACGATTATTTTCACATTTAATAAACTGGCAAAGTTACATTTAAATTTGGAGAGAAAACAGTTACCTACAACTCTACCAGAGTATTACAAAATAATACAGTTCATTCAAACACTGAGCTCCAGAATGGTTAAAACATTTAAAGATATTTCATAACAGACTAAAGAAAGATATGAGATTACTTCAACAAATGAAGGAAGACATCTGATAAAGCCCCACACCCATCTTCAGAACTTTCCAGAAACCAACATGAGAAGGGAAGGTCCTAAAATTTACAGGTTGCTGTCCAGGTTATAAAGCTCTAGCTTTCACTGAGATGGACTCTGCTCTGACCAACATTCACTCTTGCCTTCTGAGTCTGACAGTTCTCACCCGTTTCAGCACACCTGCTTTATAATCTCTCTCCCACCTGCAACAACTCAAATACTCAAAGATGGCAGCTGTGCTCTTCCCCCAAGCTGAGTAGTCCCATCTTCCCCTACCTTTCCATCTCATGGAATCCTGACCCCTGGTTTTCAACATGTTCAAGTTTATCTCAATTAGCTTTAAAATGTGGTCAGAAGAGAGAAGTTACAAATTCTAGCCCTCAGCAAGTCCACACGCAAACAGCCATCCCTGAAGACTCCTTATCCAGGCAGCTGGCTCCAATCCGTGTGTGTGACACAGGCTGAGATCCTGTGGCTAGCACTGTGGTGCAGCAGCGGGGGATCTGCAGGCAGCCCAGCAGCTCTTCCCCTCAGTGCTGAGGCAGCCCTGGCACACACTCACACTGACCCACTGTACCACTACCCAGAGCCTCAGCAGTGGCCAAGAGCATTCACACAAGAAATGAGTGTCCACATAATCACCAGCCTCCAGAAACTGAGGACAGGAAGGGAACTGTTCACACCAAAGGCATTTCCCTTTGGCTAATAAATCATGGTGCCCAGGTTTGCTTCTCTTTGCAGTGTGAAATGCACAGAGGAAGGGCAATGACCAAAATAAACCCGGAAAGCAGTGATGGCAGGACTTCTGGAAAAAGCTGGAGGGACTACAAAGAAGGCCATGTCTCTGGCACAGGGATTAAGAAAAAACTAGACTCAAGTGTTATAGATATAGATAGATACCTTAGATATAGACAGATATATCTATATCTCTATCTCTATCTATCTATCTATCTATCTATATTTTTGTCTTTTTGAGACAGGGTCTTCATATGCAGTTCAGGCTGGTCTTGAGCTCACTTTGTAGCCCAGACTGGTCTTGAACGCGCAAAAATCCTCCTGCCTCACTCAGCCTCCTGAGTGCCGATTACAGGCGTGAGCCACCACACCCAGCTCTTGAATCAATATTTATCGGGGGGAAAAAATTTAAACTTGGCAGAAGGGTTACCTAATCAAGAGTACAATTTTAAAGAAGTATTTTTGAAAATGAAGTACTAGCTTAGGAATGCTGACTGAGGTAGGAAGATCAAAAAGTTTAAGACCAATCTGAGCAACTTAGTGAGACCCTATCTCACAATAAAATACAAAAGGGCTGAGGGCATAGCTCAGAGGTAAAGTAACTTGTGAGCAAAGAAGTCCTGGGTTCAGTACCACAAAAACAATAAAAACCAAAACCACAAGTAATTCTGCCTGTCTAAAATTGATTTGAGTATAGAGCTAACTCATCAAGTCTATCAAAAATTAATCTCCTACCTGCTGTTTCTTGGTGGGATACTTCTGAACATTTGCTGTGAAAAAAGGATACTTTTCATAGGTATAATCATACATCCATTCACAGAAGTGATTCCCAATGTCGAATCCTCTGAAAGAGAAGAGGACAGAGCATGAGGCACGCTGCCAGCTCCCCGACCAGGAGAAAAATGATCAGGCCAGACCACTGGACTTCCTGAGCACACAGGGGTGTGGCAGCTTTAGTCACAGGGAGACACAATTAGGACATTCTCAGAACTGCAGCTGACTGAAGCTATACAGAGGCTGCCGGAACCGCTGCTCGAGCGTGCACGTCTCCTGTAGCCAGTACTTCTGCAGCCCAAAGACAAGGACAAAACTGGATGTGAATGACACTGCAGCTCCTGACTACACAGCCAGCCAGGGTAAAGCAGGCCTGTGCCATGGCTTCTCTGGACAGGTGCCTTCGCTTCCAGGAGAAGATGCTTTCAACTTGGTACACTGTTTTCACTTTTTTTCTCCAGGACTTGTTTCATAAATGTTTCAGAAAACAGTACTGAAAGATATGCCTCTGACTGTAATATATTACCTGTAATTATAACTGCTGTACTCAAAGTCAATCAGCATCAGTTTTTGCTTTTCAGAATTTTCTCGGCCTTCCAGCAATAAGATATTACCTGCAAAGAAGTTGGGGTAGCAAGACTTAGATTTCACAACAGAAAAATCAAGTCCTCAGAGGGCAAAGCTGAGAGTTCTTCAGGCCCTGCGGGGGCCCTTGACGGACTCTGGCATTAGGTCTCACCGATACCATGAGCATAGGACATGGACATGCTACATGGGTCGGCCCCTGGTAGGCAGATAGCAAACCCACCCTGCCCATGGCCCTGGTCCTTTTGGGAGCCCTCATTCACGGTGGAACAATGCCCAACCTCTCATTCACTGTCTGAGGAATGTTTTTTCTGATCGTTTCCTACAGGGTACAATGGAGCTCTCTGGTCCCACACCCCTCCTTATCTGCAGCCTTGAGATTCGGCTGCTAGCAGGGCTGGCTGGGCACACCAGCGCCAAGCTGTCATGGTGTCCTCCCTACTGAGGATGCCACGGAAGTACAGTCACAACAGAGCCCCACTGTGCTGCTCTGCCTGGTGTTCCCTCCCAAGGAGGCTCCAGCAGTAGCACTGTGACGCCCATGCTCCCCAGATCCCCACAATCTTCACTGCTCAGTATCTCAGCACCACAAAAGGGGCAGGTGGGCACCAGGAAGGGAACCTCCGCTGAATGTTTGGCTCTCTCCCTCTCAGGGTTTCTGAGAAGAGGTTATGCTCCCAGGCTCAGAAGCATAGTTTTCCTGTTTTCAACAGCAATGAAAAGAACTAGAAGCAGATATTCAAAGCAGCAAATCAAAATGAATGTACACCTCCCATATCTGTCCCTTCACACACTTCTCCGTCACTAAGCCAGATGACCTCCTCCTCGTTTATCTCTGGTGATGTCTATGCTGTTCATCACTCCATCACTACCATAAAGGTATGGCTAACACCCAAAGCTGTAGCTGCAATTTCTGGTCCTGCTCCATTTGAGACAGCCAGCAAGAGTCAACTATAAAGTATATATATACATATTATATATAATCTATAGTATACTTTATATAATGTCTCATATATATTATACTTTATATAGTGTAAAGAAGTTAGGCTCAAACCAAGGACTCATTGATGACGAGCCTTCACAAGGGACTATTCTGGAACTAAAAGCAAGTTTGCCAGGCAGGAAGATCAGTTGGGCTCAAGGGTTTGGAGCCAGCCAGAGCAACATAGCAAGATCCTGTCTCAGTAAAAAATAGAACAAATCAAGAGCCAGGCACAGTGGTGCATGCCTACAGTCCAGGTACCTGGAATGCTGAGGCTAAAGGAACACTTAGGCCCAAGACCAGTCTGAGCAACACAGTGAAACACTATCTCAAAAACACAACGAGGATAGACACTGGGAAGCAGCAAGAACGTGTTCAAATGGGAAGGGGAGTGGGGAAGGGGGCGGGTAGGAAGGGAAAAAGATTAAAAATAAAGAATGGGTGGGAAAAAATGGAAGCAAAGCTTTTGTAAATGTGAAGGGGATGAAGGGTTGAAGGGAGGTGATGGGGATGGAGGGAAAAAGACAAATTAAGGTGTATTATAAATTCTGTATGATGAATGTGATCATTATGTATGGCAAAAGTACTAATAACATTTTTTAATGGCACACACACACACACACACACACACACACGCACACGCACACGACTGTTGAGCTAGCCAAGCAGGGCCTGAGGAAGAAGCACAGCTGTCATGACTAAGCAATGTTGGTGGCCTCAGTAGGAGCTGCATAATTACATGCAACTCTGATTAAACTATGAAACTGGAAATCACATTGGGTAACATTCTGTTACAGTAAGGCACATGTGGCATTGTTGTTTTCTGAGCAGAGCAACTGAAATCATTCACGGTGTACACACCAATATTAACAGAGAAAGCAAGCTGATAAGCTTCCTGTGCTGCTCGGTGTGGGAGGAAGGGCCCACGTGACTAGGGAGATGACCTTGGTCTTTTACTGCTTCTGCTTGATGAAGCCATCTTTCAGGAGTTAAACACAATTCATAACATATGACTTACAAAAAGCGTTAAGTCCTTGGTCCTAAATCCCTGGTTTAGTGACTATTATCTCAGAGTTTCCCCATGTAAATATTTGCTGTTAGTAGAAATGGAATGACTCTCCACTATGTGTTTCTTTCCTGAAATTTGCTTCTCCTATTAACATATCCTGGAGATTTTTCTGATATGTGTATAAGTCTCGGTCTTTTTAAAAACTCATTTGTGATACTAGGGACTCATGCATGCTCTAAGGCAAGTGCTCACAAGTAAGGTACACCGTCAGCCCTTATTTTTTCTGAAAAGGCATCTCAAAAGATTGTCTAAGATGGTCTTAAATTTGTGTCCCTCCTGCATCAGTCATCCAAGCAGCCGGGATTATAGGCATGTCCCCTGGCACCCAGTTTCTCTCATTCTTTCGGGAAGTTACACAATAGCTGTCTGGGTGCATCACAAACTGATACATCTAACACTCCCGACAATCATCTGGCATCTATGGCACACCTGAATCCTATCTTCGGCATGTGGCCATTCTTACCTTCTTGACAGTCATTATGACAAAACACAACTGGAGACAAAGTAGATTCAAGCAATAATCTGAAAAAGGAAGGAAGGTTTCACTTGTAGCTGTCAACTTTTAAGTCAGAAGCCACTGCCCTACTCTTAGCATGGCCAACACAGTGTTAGTGCTTCAATGCAACACACAGTCTCACAAAGAAGTTTTCATGTGAATTCTGAAACACATGTGACCATGTGGTAATAGCTCTACCACAGTTCCCAGCACCAAGTCACACAAGCCTCTCTGTACTCGAAGTTCCTTCTGCAGCAGGACCTTTCCACACACTGTTCTCCTCAGCAGCCACCCTGCATGGTCCCTCCTCAGACAGCCCTTCTCTCACCACTGATGCAAAGCAGACTCATCTGTCGGTCTGCTTTGGTCTATGTTCCCTTCCCAGCATGTATCACAATTTGACATCTGTTTTCTGTCCTAATAAAATGTCTTGCTCACATTTCCTCACCATCAACACACTGGCCTGCACAGCAGACTCTGAGAGAGCCAAGTAATTGGAGGTGTAACTGCTGGTTAGAAGTGTAAGTGCCTGCCCCAGCCGCGCCCTGAGAACACCACAGTGGATCAGTCTCAAGAGCTGTCACCCCAAGGTTAGGTTGAACCACACCTCTCATCCATTTTCGTCCCCTAGTCTGTGCTAATGTCCCACAGACTGTCTTGCTCTATGCAGCAGACATTTCTCTGAGAGACTGCCTCCTCCACACAGTGTTCCTGGACTGAGAGATGAAGTGACAGCATACATGGAACACATGAGATGACAAAACTCACATGCTAAACCATCCTGCAAAAGTGGCGTGAGGTGCCAGGCTTGGAGTAAGCTTATTCAACTGACAACTTTAACGACTAAGAATATTTACTCTTCTGGAAAGATGTGCCTACTCAGCAAATAGAAGCAAACACTCACCTCAGTGTTTCCAGTTCCAAAGGCAGGTTGTAACTGAGGAACTTCTGGAGTGTTTTTACTCTGAATTCTTCAGTAAACTTAATTTTCAGCACTTGATCTAGGTATCTATGTAAACAAAGGAGGGCAAAGGACCACTGCTCAGTTCAAGGTGCAGTCTGAGCCTCAGTTACCCACCTGACACCTACCAACACAGTCACAAGTCAGGAATGCTCCTGTCCACAGGAGGGAAAGGGAATAGCTGGGAACCATAGCACTCAAAGCCACCGCCCCCACCAGCATTTCTGCAAACTGCACTTCCTTCTTGGTCCAAAAGTTGATGGCTTCATGCATTTATACAAGACAGACTTATTCAGGAGACAAACACCAGAACCAAAACCTGCACATCAATGAACCAAGAGAGGGCCTCTCCTACCCTGCAGGCAGTTCATACTGACCACTTACTTTTCCATTGTTCCAAAAAGCCATTTGGGTTCCTTATTGAATGGCATTTTCATACCATGAAATGTAGCCATTTTTTCAGCTATTTCTGCAGAAATATCTGGCAAACTTAATTCATCAGTGTCTAATCGTCTGCTCTGCAATTAAAAAAATAAATAAAAAATCGATGTTTAATCAGCAAAGTTGGCAGTCTGAGATTACACCTTCCTAAGAATGAGAAGCCAGTCTCTGTAGGGCATTTAAGTGTTACCAAAGCCCTAAGTTCCCTTAAGAATTGACATTGTTGGGGCTGGGGATTTAGCTCAGCGGCATAAGCGCCTGCCTTGCAAGCAGGCAGTCGTGAGTTCGATCTCGGGTACCAATAAAAAGGAAAAAGACAAAAAAAAAAAAAAAAAAAGAATTGACATTGTTGGGGCGGGGATGTAGCTCAGCAGCAAAGTGCCTGCCTGATCCTGAGTTTAATTCCTGTTACAAAACAAAGAATTGACACTGTATTCCCACAGACAGTGACCCAGCAACTGCCATGGCACTTCTACAGTGAAAATCCTCCTTCCAGGGTCTGCTGCATGAGAAATCCTTTTTAATCATGAATAAGTTGTCTGTAAATTTTAATAGAAGGTTCTCTTCTATAAGCTATGATTCTGCCCTTTAAAGTTACAGTGTGTTCACTGGACCCAAGTTGGCAAGTCTGTGCGCAGCACAGCACAGCCCAGCCCCTCGCTCCTCCCTCAGCCGGAGGCCCTGCTCTGCCACTTGGCAGGGAAGTAGAGTCCTGAGCAGGAGGCCTTCCAGCCAGCTGCTCAGTGTTTCTTGCATCTGGCCTGGCATACAGAGGGCTTCAAGGGGCCACATTGGACAAGCACACAGTGACTTATTTTTTAGTTTTCGTTTCATTGGAAGTGTTGGGAACTGAACAAAGGGTTTTGTGTGTGCCAGGGAAGGATTCTGCCACTGAGTTATACTGGGTCCCCTGCCCTTTTTTAAAACTTTAATTTGTGGCACTATTTTTGTTTGTGCAGAGTCTTTATGGTTGGCAGGTGCTAGGGACTGAATTCAGAGTTCTCTGCATGCCAGGCAAGCACTCCACTGCTGAGTCAGCCTCCGCCAGCCCTCTAGCATTAGGCTGTATACACTGAGCCCCAGAGGTGGACAATAAAGTGTAAAAGGAAAGGCTCAGGGGATGGTGAAATAGTGAATCTCACATGTACTTTAATTTGGATGACTCTGTCTTTGTAGGAGAAAAAAAAATTCTGGTATGTATTTTAAAAAAATGTTTTTCTGATTTTTCTGATCCAGTTTAGCAACACAGGTCACATTTATCATTTCATACCATAGCATTTCAGGGTTCTGTCAAAGTAAGACAAGGAACCCAGCTTCTATCTGTGGTTCTTGTCAACTGACAGTTTATATACACATCTTACCGGGATGAACTGCTCCAGTCGGCCTTGAGGAAATATGCCATAGAGTTTTGGCCCAAGCGACCTTTCTGCGAGAATGGCAAACATAACACTTTCCAGAACCATGGCTTCAGCCCCCTAAAACAGAAGGCAACAAACAAGGTGTTTTCTGAGGCAGCAGAAGCACTTTCCCATAAGCAGTTTCTTTCAGTCCTCACTGACACTCTAATGTGGGCATCACCCTACTGTAAATATGAAATAAGAGGATCGAGAATTATACATTTTACAATCTGCAGGATCCATGCTTGCAAGCATTATACTACATGGATAAGACTTAAAATTTAAGTTTATTTTAGGTCAGCTGATTCCAAAATTAGAACCACCATCTATTGAAGCTCGCATTGCTTCTCTCTCTTACAACCTACATAAGTTTCACTGCTGGCCACGTACAAAGACCACAGTCCCAGGCACTGTGGTGTAGTTGACCTGCCTTTGCACCGGCACTGCCTGTTGAAAGTCAAGGATCCAAAGGCCTCTGCCTATCACATTGGCCTGTGGCTCTAGTAAGTTTGACAACTACTGATTTAGGCCTGGGGCCTATGACTTTTTGGTTCAAAGTGCCCTGGCATGTAGCATTCATGCTAGGTTTCCAATTTCAACTTTGTATTTTCAATCTTTCCCCTTCTACTGTTTGGATTCCTGCTGAAGTCTCTACAAGGCTCCTATGTTGTATCTTCAGTCCTGATAACTAAAATCATTCTGCCTTCAAAGTCCATCCTTTTGTCTCAATTCGAATTCCTTAGTCTTTTGTCCTTGAATAGTAAATTATAGCTTATGAGTTTCCATGTGTTGGGAGTCAATGCATGGAAAAAGTCATTCTTAACCAGGTGCCCTGAATCTCTTGCAGACAAAAGACCTTCCTTGGTCCAGATCCTGAGTTTCTTTCTTCTTTTAATTTAAATAAGTTATTTATTTTTGATCCTAAGTTTCTAAACTGATACATGTAAGGAAGGAACAATAGGTGTATTCTGAAAACATTTCTTTTTTTTTCATTGGTACCAGGGATCGAACTCATGACTGCACACTTGCAAGGCTGGCGCTTATGCCACTGAGCTAAATCCCCAGCCCCTTCTGAAAACATTTCTGATGACCCCAATGCACCCCTTAAGAAATATTCTATAAGGCACATGATCCCAACAGAATATTTTTTTTTTTTTGTCTTTTTCCTTTTTATCGGTACCCGAGATCGAACTCACGATTGCCTGCTTGCAAGGCAGGCGCTTATGCCGCTGAGCTAAATCCCCAGCCCCCAGAACACTTTTTAAAGCACTCACATTACCAAAAAACTGAGAAACTAGGAGGAGAACCATTAGGCAATGACAGAATGCCAGACTTAGTAGGAACAAAAAGAAGCTACTTCCAAGGGACACTGGACCACATTAAGGTAAAAAGCAATTCAGTTACATTGCATTTTTAGGGGCAAATGTTTTCTTCAGTAATCTCCCACAATTATAACCTAATCATCATCTGTGTAATCCCCACAATTATGGTCTAACCATTATTTTCTGAGGCTTAATCTTTATTTACTATTTTCGAGCTATGTGTTTTGTTTGTTTTTTGAGAGGTCTCGCTGTGTATTTCAGGCTGAATTTGAACTCACTTTGCAGCCAAGACTGGCCTCAAACTTACAGCAATCCTCCCACTTCAGCCTCCCAAGTGCTGGGATTAAAGATATGCGCCACAACATCAGGCCAGTTAGGTGTTTTTGATAGTGTACAAATAGTATTGATTTGATTAAGTTAATGAATTTTAGAGCTGTTTTGATCAGCTTTCACTTTTTATACTCTTAAAGAATGACAGCACCTAACATCTTCACATGGTTGGTGAAATGCTTCCCACCACTCACAAGTCCCCAGGCTGGTCCCAGCTGCCTTCATGCCCAGCACGGGAAACTGCCGGGAAGCTCACCAGAGGGTTTATGAAGCATCCTCTGCTTCCCCGAACACGCCCTGCCTTGGAGGGCAGCACACGCTAGCACTCTGGAGACCGCTGCACCTCCTGAACTGTACAAACTGCAAAACTGAGGGAGCCTAAATACCTCACCAGGACAGGAGAATAGTAGTCTCAGCCTCTAGACCAGGCTGCCACTGTCTCTTCACAGCCATTCACCTCATGTGTAGAATCGCTCACAAAATTATAATTCTCTCCCATATCCAAAGGGTAGACTGAGCATTTATTTTATCTAGGTATCCCGAATTTTATAAGAATTCAAGCAAATTTTCTAATTTTCTACATGATAGAATAACACTGGAGCATTAAGGGGGTGCACTGTATACAACACACACATACATCTAACCTAAAATACCCTCTAACATTTGAAATTCAAGAGTTTTACATATAAGGTAAAGCCCTGCTTTATTATTTCAATAGGGTCAGCATTTTGCACATCATGTCCACTCAACAGAGGACTCCTAGATGGGCATGCCTGTAATCCTAGCACTTGGGAGACTAAGGCAGGAGGACTATGGCAAGTTCAAGGCCAGCTTGGGCTACAAAGTGAATTCAAGGCCAGCCTAAACTACATAGTGAGACCCTGTTTTTAAACAAACAAATAAAACATGATTCCTGGAACTGACTGATTTACATGTGGCAGCACTATTGTTATACTGTCCAGACTCCTCTCCAGAGCAGAGCCATGCTCACAAACAGTGCCAAGCAGGTGTGGAGACTTAGTCTTCTAGTTCTCTTCCTGCTGTTTTGAACACTGTAAATAAAACATTCTTATGCAACACTGCAGTTCAGTATTTAGGAAGAAAAGAGGGCATGTAGAGGATAGAATCTGGAGTTAAAAAACAAATGCAAATACCAAAGACACAAGCATGACAGGTTAGGAAGAATGATCAACTCCTAATCACTTTTTTGTGATCACAAAGCCTTTTCAGCTCCATACTGAAATCAAGTGAACAAGGTCAAGAGAGCGCTAGACAGATATGGCTCAGTCTATACCTTCACACCATGCCTGAGCTAGCCAAAGGCCATGCAACAGCAACTGGTCCTACTTCTCCAGAAAAGGGCAATACTTCAAGAATCTACTTTTGCTTCTGCTGCGTACTTAGCACTTTGCCAAGCATCAGGAAAACAAAACACAAGAGCCTACCTATCTGGGGGAAATAGACAATAAGTGAATGAATACAATGACTGACAGGGTCACTGCCACGGAAGGACAGAAGAATGGAACACGGTATGGCTACGACCTGGGACCCAAGGGTAAGCAGGAGTTGTGAGCAGTCTGAAGAGGAATGAGTGCTACATTCAAGGAGTAGAAAGGGGTGGTACACTTGGGAAAGGGGAAGCAGGACAAAGGAGAACACAGGAGCGGCTTGCAGTACAATCTGGGATCTAGGGAAAAGTTGGGGTAAAGAAACTCCAAAGTCTTCAAAATGCTGAGAGTGTTTAAAACCCTTCCTGTGGTAAGCTCTCCCAGCAACAGAAGACAAGGAGGCAGCACTGGGCTTAAGAATGTCCAACATTCAGAGCAACCACTTTCAAACCAAATGGCATCATCAGAAAGGCATTTATTATACAGCAACCATCCACACATACACCAGATGTTATACACAGTAATACCTATCCTCATGAGCAGGCAAGCTTTCTACTACATTTTTGTTTGTATATAATATAGGGGATTTAACATGGGACCTTCCCACCGAGCTACATTGTCCAGTCCTTTTGTAATTTAATTTTTCATTTGAGACAGAGTCTTGCTAAGTCACCCAGGCTGGACTTGAACTTGCAACCCTCCTGCTTTTGATCCTAGAGTGAAAGGATCACAAGTGTGTGCCACCACAACCAGTTCCTAGTATTTTCTACTGTATTTCATTTAAAATATCACTTGAGTCAGACGCTGCACAACCAGCTACTGAGGAGGCTGAGGCAAGAGGATAGCAAGTTCAAGGTCAGACTAGGCTACACAAATTCCAGCTCAAAAAAAAGAAAAAGAAAAGAAAAGCAACAAAACTATCATATTCCATTAAAGATTTACAATCCACCAGATGAACCAGTGGCTTTAATACAGGCAACAGAAAGGGGATCCAGAGGCAAAGGGAGGTAAGATAGCTGCCATCTTAAGGCATTCTGTGCAGACATTGCCCAGGGTTCAACAGGAGAAAAGAAAGAGGACACTGGATCTGACAACAGGGAAACTGTTGGTGACGAAACAAGATGTGAAGGGGACAGGTGCCAGCTGGGAGGCGAAGGGTAAACAAAAGCAGTAGAAGGATCTGAACAGGAGATAAAAGCAAGGAATGAAAATGACTTTTGTTTTGTTTTGTTTTTTGGGCATTACTGGAGCTTGAACCCAGAGCCTTCACACTGAGCTATAATCCCCAGCTTTTTTGTTGTTTTTTAATTTTGAGACAGGGTTTCGCTAAATCATCAAATTGAGCCAGGCTGGGCTCAAACTTTCAGTTCTCTTGCCTCAGGCTCCTAGAATGCCAGGATTACAGATCTATGCCACCGTACCTACTTTAAATAGCTTTCATCAGCCAGTTGTGAGAACATTAGGAAAGCTGGGTAAGGGGTACATGGGAACTCTCTATACTATTTTGCAACTTGCTCTGTAAGTCTAAAATGTGTTTGAAATGTGTTTGAAGCCAGGCCACATGACAAAACTAAGTTAGTGATTCTGTATAACAGAAAAAAATGTGTTTATTACATTTCCCTTTGTGCTTTCCTGTGCTTTTGAAACTTTTCTCCAAAAAAGGAGATTGGGACGAAAGCAGATACAGTAGACTCTGTCTCACAAAATCTTACTGGGGAAAAAAAAAAAGAAAGAAAAGAAAAGAAATCTTACTGGGGGCTGGTGGCAGAGCATTTGTTTACTGTGCAAGAGGGCCCTAGGTTTCATCCCCCTCTAAAAAAAAACCCTAAGCAATAAAAAAAAAAAGAATAAAGAAAGAAAAGAAAAAATATGTCAGCAGTGGGAGCAAAGATGGCGTGGGAGTTAAGAAGGCATAAGCCATAAGCACTATCTCACCTAGAGAAGGAAGTAGATGACAAGAATTCAGACTCAAACAAGCAAAGCCAAGGGTGACATACAAGGAAGAATGTCCTTCAAAAGGGAAGGTCCATGGAAAAGCAGACAAGAAGGGCCTGAGTAGGAAGGTGAAGGACAGAAGATAAGCAGTCATGAAGAATGTGGGGCTGGGAATGCAGCTTGGCAGGAGGGTGTCTGTCTAACAAGTTTGACCCCCTGGGTTCTATCCCCAGGATCACATTTAAAAAAAGAATGAAGTTCTATTGTCCACTAAGGGTAGTGACAGCAAATTCTGATGAGCAAATAGAAGCCTGAAATAGATTTCTAGCATCAGGAGATAAACATATTGCAGAATGCTCCCAGGCAGTGGCAAATGCCCATTGGAGGCTGCTAGCCCTAAAATGAAACTTGCCCCCCAAGTATGGAGTTCTTTTCGAGTAATGTTTAGCTCCAGATGCAGCCTAGAGGTGGCTGGGCTCAGTAAGGTAGTAGTTTACAAGGTGTTATAGTTTGTGTCTGGATGTCCTCCAAAGCCTTATCCAGTCATAGGGGGAAGATAAGCTTTTTTAAAATTTGTGATTGGTTCATTGTCTAGTGCTGGACTAGGGGTGTGAGTGCTGCAACCAGCCCTAGGGTAGGTAGCCTGCATACAACATAAGAGAGAAAAAGAGGCTTGCTCCTTGTTTTTTGGTTGTTGGGTATTTCACCTCAGCAACAAGAAAAATAACTATGACACAAGGTGAGCACAATAAGAAGTGAGCAGAAAAATGAGCTGAGAACATGTGGAAGGAAGAAAAGGCCTGTTTGTGATGGTAGAGCTGGGTGAGCAGGACTGCAGCAGGTGGTGAGGATAGCTAGTCGGTGGGGAGTGAGGGCAGTGCCTAGACTGGAGGTTTTGATGGTAACCAGCAAGTGGCAGCTGCAGATGTGCCAAGAAGAATGGGTAGTTAGTAGATGGTGGACTATTAAAGCCAGCATGGCAGAAAGGGTACAATTTCTAGAGATAAAAATCTAGGGCACAGCCAGGGAAGTGGATGACAGATGAGGAATAGAAAGAAGTGGTTGTCAGAGATGAAGCAGTCAGAATACAGAGAATCCTCATCATTTGCCCATCTCGGTGAGATAGTTCCCAATACACCAAAAGCCCTTTCTCTAGGAAAGAAACACTGCCAAACTGCAGTGCATTGAGGTTGGCTCACACCAATTTACATCTCATGCAGGTACAGAACAGACTGAATTACTTACTTGAAATTCATTTTCTTTCTGAGCTTGTTCGGATCCCTCCTTATTACAGGACCTCTATGAAATGAGAAAAACCAAACACTTCTGGTGAGATGGAGAATAATGAGTGGGTACTAACTTTGCAACCACCAAAACAGTTAGGGTTTACAGAATACCACAGATTTTTTTAACAAGGGCTTTTGAGCCCACCATGTGATCAACATAGTCTAAAGGCACCAGCATCCTCCAGTACTAGTACCAATGCCTCAGAAAGTACTTCATATGAACTTTACAACAAAGGGATATGCTGTTGAGACCAAATAGCTGCATGTCTCACAGCTGTCCCTGTGTACCTTTCACAATTTCATTGTTAGGAAAGTCACTTGAGTGCAGGCCTCAACTGGGCCTTCTAAAGACAAGCATAGGATGAGGCTCGCATCAGTTTTGCTACATGGTTCTTCCAGGTCAACCAGCTAGGACAGGAGCATCAACATGCCTGTGGACGGCCATGGTTAGCACAGAATGTGGACAGAAGAGAAAGCACCGTGCAGGCAGGAGACCAGGCACAAGCTGTAGAAATCTGCCACTTCTTGGACTAACCCTTCTAAGTTCAGTTGGTCACAGTCCAATCTGAATTTATCCTCTAGCAAAGAGAATCGTGTGATTTTAATAAAGTTCCTAAAATTATCTTATATATGAATATATTAAAGGTTACTTTTACATCACTTTCCTCAATGAAATTGCAAATTAATGGTAACCAGCACTGTAACAATAACAATATACTAAGTACCAGCTACCACAAGCAACTCTTAGCTTACATTCTTTCTTCATGGCATAGATCATGTATTTCCAAAGCAACCCCCCACCCCAAGTACTTTAAAACTCTCATACTATCTTTAACAAAGGAATAGGGAAGAGTTAAGTCAGAAACTTAAGGGTCACGTCAAAATTTTATACTCAGCTATTGCCTCTAAAAATGTTATTGTTCCAAGTAAACTAAGTCTGCTTAAACCAGACCCAAGAGGAATCCCTTAATGGAAACCTCTTTAAAAGAATTTAAGGTAAGAGATTCTTGGACATCCCGTGAAAAACATACCTTTCCATTCCACAGCTTATCAAAAATACCTGTACCAAGGGTGGAAAGTGTGGACAGGGGAAAAAATGCCATGTTAAGCAACACCAGCTACTCTAGCAGCATTCAAAAAAACCTCGTGATTTAAAGCAACCACTCTCATTCATCATACATCAAAATAACATTCCAGACATTTTAATGCATGTTTTGTATAAACAGTACATGTTTGTTATACTCTATAAACAATACCCATATTTATAAAGTTATCTGCAAAAGGCTAATGTTTCCACAGACACATATTCAATAATATCTGTAACATGTAGTTAAGTATACTTGGTACAAACTACAGAAAGCACAAATGGGGATACATGATATTTTCGGTTGTGTAATCTGCATTTTTCTGATGAAAAGATGTTACAGATTAAATCCCATTACAATGAAAGCTATTAAGAATCAAAATATTACAAAAATATGCTACACATTTGCTGATGTATGCTTTAATAAGTCCTAGGGAGAATCTGTCACTCCCTTAACTCCAAAACTCTCTCATGAGCAAATGTACCTTAGACTTATGCCTCAGTGGTCAATGAGCAGGAGCTTCTCCTTCTGCTGATGTTAGTCTTCCCGCAGAGCCCCGAGCAAATCCTGATGCTTGCATGGTAAACAAATGCTCCAGCACTGTGAAGCACAAAGCAAACAAGCCCAAGGAGCAACCTAGTAGGTGGGGGCCTGGGGTAAATTTACAGCTGTGTTCCCAGCCGTCAGAAAACTGTCTGCAGTGGTAATTAGGACACTGAATGGGGATGAAAAACCCCTTAAAATAGTCTTTGTACTCCCCACCTCAAGGCAAGTTAAGAGCAAAAAATAGTTCTATAATCTGATGTATCACATATTAATATATTGTACCAAAAGCTTTAAGACAAATAGGGAATTTAGATATTCTACTGAAATGTGTAATGGGATTTGACCTGCACCAAACGCTAAATGACTATAGTTATTCCTATGCTGTTATTGCTCTAACTGTATCTTCTTAGGGAGATACAGTTAATGGGTTATTTAGGTAACAGAAGTCCCTTTCCTTGTCTAATGGTGCTCTCAAAGGCAAATCGATTTAACCCAAAATTATAAACTGGTTTATAGTTAGTTACAAGGCTACTCATTAAAACATTAGCACTAGAAGCAAACATAAATTATTTTTCCACACCTGCTCACCCATATCCAAAATAAATGTATAACTTACATTAAAAGAGCACCATTGCAAAGGCAAGATGGACTTCTGCAATATGCAACCCTGAGTTCTGTTTCCTCAGTACAGAATGCCCAGGCTCCCTAAGGCCTGCAAACAAGAACAGTACAACCAGGAAGCCTCAAGCCAGGAAGATGTCATGAGAAAGTATGAAGAAGTCTCCTGACCTGATGCAGAGGTCTATTCACTTTGTCAAGAAATCAGAGATATTTTCTGTCCAGGAAAATAGGAAATAAAGTAGATTTTGGAGTCTCTTGGATTTTACTCAGTGATACAAATTTATTTGAAGAAGGTAGTAAAATGTATTGTAAAAATTATTTACCATTAAAAAATATTTAGTATAACTTCAAACTTTCTTCTAAGTTGCAAGCTAATAAAAATTCTTACCTATAAGTCTAAACCTATTACAAATTTGAACACTAGTTATTTTAATATTAAAGTATTATTTCATTTGTAGGGAGGTGCTGGGGACCAAACCTGGAGTCTCCTATGTGTTAAATCCCTAGTTATTTTACTGTGAACATTTTTAAAAAATCATCCAATATAGATACAGTCTGAAGTACGAATGTAAGAAACAATTTGATGTCTGGAATTTGCTTCAAAATAACCCAGAGGAAAGAGACCAGGGAAATGATGAAAGAAGACTGATCAGGTAGGAAAAATGAATTTAGGGTTCAGTCTTCTATCTACTTTTATATTTATTTGAAATTCTCCATAATAAAAAGATTTTTACACATAAACACTGAGAAATCAGAATGTCTCAAGTATACATAAGACACCCAACTCTACATGTGTGGAAAAACACTGAACTGTACAGCTTAAATGTGTTAATTTTATGTTACAAATTATCCTACCCCCACCCTATCCTGCCACTGGCTTTCTATCACTTAATTCCCTTCCAATTTTGGGCTTTGTTTTCCATCTGTTATAGTCATGCAAACATTAGCCTGTGACGTAGAAAATCAAACAGACTAAAGTAGTAGCAGTAATAAAAAGGGCATATTAACATTTTGACTTTAAAGTTACCAAAGATTTTAAAGTTGAAAGATTCTGATTATCCAAGAACTTTAAATTTCTAGAAGTCTAAATTCTGTCAGCTAGGAAGATGAAAGAATAAGAATAGAGGGTTTTATTTTTATATATTGCCTATACTTTAAAAATTGCTTAAAACCATATTACTTTCATAATACATATACTTGGATTTTTTTTTTTTTTTTTTTTGAGACAGGGTCTCACTATGTAATCCAGGCTGGCCTTGAACTAACCATAAAGCCCAGGCTGATCTTGAACTCAAGCCTGCCTCAGCCTCTTGAGTGCTGGGATTACAAATATGCACAACACACCTAGCTTACGTAATACATCTACACACTTGGTACAAGGTTTCAAATGTCATTTTTCTGATAAAAATCACATTTTAAGGCTCTGTATTTTGGTTTTGTGTTTTCAAAGAGACTGTCAAAGTAAATGACTACGTTACACAGTACTGGTTTTCAAAATATTCTATTTCAGGCCTTGAAAAGGAAAATAGACAACTTAAGGGCCTGAGACAAGATCTCATTTTATTTATCAAAAACTAATAAACTATGGGTTTTTTTCCCCCTCGGGTGCTCGGGACTGAACTCATAATCTCACACTTGCCAGGCAGTTGTAAATAAACTGTCTTAATAAAAATTTTCACTTTGGCCAATTTTTGTTTCTGTTTTGCAGCAGTAGGAATCTGATTGGCCAGTACTCAGTAAAAGATTCCTCTAAGAATGAAGGAAGTGAGTTTACGGCTAAACTAGGTTGGTAAAGTCCTATTTGTGAGATGAAACAAACAAGCATACTAATTTTCCCTAGGGGTCTATGTATAGATGGGTGTGTGGATATGAATAAATTACTACACGTGGCCTACAGAAAGTAGCTTGAAGTGGCAGGTAGTTATTTGAAACATTTAAAGTATCTTTAAAGATCCACTACTGCATAGGGACAGGCTGGGAAGTGACTTACTCAGCCCAGAAGAATGAGATACCACAAGAGTATAACAAACTAGGAATGCTATTTAAGAAATGAAATCATTATCAATTCCAGACATCGCCATAATAAGGAAATACATATATTACAAATAATAGTAGTTGTGGAATTGAACTGATACAAGTAAATGTATCTTCTGTGATACTCTCTTCTTCCCATTACCTCTTTCCTATCAAAAAGAAAAACAAAACAAAAAAACCCTGCATCAATCATTCATCTGCTATCTCTTTTAAAGGTGTTATAGAAAATACAGAGCAAACTGGGGTATGTGAGTAAGAATAATTCAATTGTTGGACAGACTCAGTTTCTAGAGCACCTAAAGTTTGGTTCTGGAAAACAGCCACCCTCTCACTAACCTCAGATTGTCTTTGGGGCAGAGTCCTGGAAATTCCCAAGTTCTTAGCACTCCTGAGAGTAGCAGCAGGAATTGCACTGTTCTCAATACCACAGTGCTGTTTAGTCCTGAAGTGGGCTTTGTTGTCATGTAGCCTGGTCTGTAGTTTTGAAGACTTCTACTATCCACCCCAGTTATCTGACCACACTTGACTCCCTAGGAGACAGGATTCTTAACAAAGGGGTGGCACCTATCATAGTCCCTGGTCTAACCCTGCCAAGTTTCTACTGATTCTGCAATTCTATCCCATCTCAGATGATGTGGGGCAAAAAAAGTCCAAGTGTCGTGACCCCATGGAATGTATGGCAGCCATGTGGGTCTCTCTTCGCAATGTTTTCTCAGTGCTATCATGATCCCTAATCTTCCTTCTCTGGATTTTTATGGAAAAAAAATCCTATGCTTATTGCTACCATGGTGTTTTTAATAGTATTCTATAAGTGTTTTACAGAACACATTAAAACATGAGATCTCAATGCAATGATTTTTATAATACAGCTTATGTGATTAGTTCGTGAGCACTTAATCACAAATATTTAAACAGACAAATGATTTCTTCTATTTTATGGTAGTTTCTACAGAATCTACCATCATCTTAAAGAACATTCTAAAGTTTCATCCTTTTGAACATTAATAATTTCAAAACAGTACAACTCAAACATGGATGAAGACTAGAACTTCTAAAAGGCTTCAGATGCCAAAAGCTGATAGCTCGTGAGCGGGAGGCTCAGGTGAAGCAGGCTCATTGCAGGACCTTCTCAAAATTTATGTCTGATCCAGACAACCTCAAGGACTTCTGGGACTTTCAAATCTAAAATACCTTCCACAGAAGCACCTGAGGGTTGTCTTGCTAGCAGCATTTTTTCAGGCCATATACAGCAGTACTGCTGAGGACCTGGGTATCCAACTAGCTAAGACACAAAAGTGCACTAATTGATAAGCACAAAGAGAAAGTTTATTGCTAACTCTGACCAAAAGAGCTACAGACACACATGGTGTTTCCTTAATGGTGAAAGTGGAATGAAAGAAGAACTTAAGTGCTTCAATTAAATTCTAAGTTGAGGCCCATAAATTTCAAAAATTACTAAATATTTGTCATTTTCTACTGAGGAAACAGAAGAAAGGCATATGATTTGCCTTGAACAAAAACCAAAACAAACCCAACCCCCCACCCCGAGGAAAAATTGATACATCTATATGTAACATTCTAAATCTTAATCACTATACTTCTTTTTAAGCACAGCACAAACTGTAGCTGGTGCTACTTAACAAGCATTACAATTTTCTTTTTTAAAAGCATTTCTTGAATCCAAGAACTAAAAGAAAGAAATTAAAGCTGTAGAGAATGCTCCAACTTCAGAGGTCTCATACTATACCGTGAATCGTGTCTGTCACCTGGAAAC